TTTTTAAGTCCTGATGTACGTTTGCATTATTATCCATCCGAAGTACGTGCTAATTGCAATTTATGTTTGCTACAACCAATTAAATGTTATTTATGTAACTTGTCTCATCTAACTAAGTCCATAAGCATGAATTTCCATGATTGTATCTTCATTTGTTTAGCTCTTTTATCGCCTTTTTCCTTCTTATTCTTTGTCTTGTTGGTTTATATAAGAGTCGGTTACTTGTTTGGTAGGACCAACTAGGATAAGTCTAAAATTCCTATGACCATTATTCACATTATTATAATTGTTCATAATACTTCACAAAGTCTTTATCGTTTCTCTTCATTCTCCTTTACTGATTTACAATCATGCATTTTCTGTCAGAGAAATCTAAGAATCATGGCTAATATGGGATTATCTGCTAAACAAGAGAAGGATGGCCAAATAGAGAAGATAAAACAAGAGGTTGGCAAAATGGTTGAGCAGCGGATTCCATATATGATATCAAAAGTATGGATCTCAGTTAATTTAAGTCGATACCATGCACTCGGATGACTAGTCTCAAAACCTTGACATGTTTACCCCCACCCTACACACAATATATAAATAAATGAATGAATAAAACAATTGAGAAGTAATAAACACCTTAGGCCTTACACAGAAATACGGAATGATTGGGACTAAGGATTTATTTTATTACATTTAATTCCTGATTTTTCACATGCTTTGCAGGCTGAGCAGCTAGCTGCAAATTCAGATGATTTCCAAGGAACAGGTTCAGAAGAGAAAGAAGTCTTGAAACGCAAATACAGCATGGATGATGTTCTAGGCAATAAGATTTGTGACTTATATGACCTTTGTGTGGAGGTATTTACTGGTCGTTCGGGGTTCATCTGGAAGCTTTTAACATCCATTTTAGATGGAATATGAAAAAAAACAAAAAAAAAAAAACTAAAAAAGAAATGAATAAGGAATTGGATTCGTTAGTGGTGTTGTAACTTGTTTATTTTTATTTTGTTCCAGAGAATAGATGAGGGTTCAGGTCCATCGATAAGAAGGCTATATCAAGAGGTAGTTGAAACGTGGCTCCCGTAATGTTTCATTCAAGTAGATTTATCGGCAGAAATTATTTTTTTGATTGTTATTGTCCCGAAGATTTTTGAAGTAAGTTATAAGTTGAAGAGATTGTGGGAATTTGCAGTAATTTAATGTGGTCTAGGAAATTATAGATCTGCATCTCTAAATTTACTGCACATGTTTCTTTTGACTAGTTTGTTTCTTTGTTTGAGGAAGTCAAGTCGAGTGGCTTAATAGACTTGGGGATGTGTTTCATAGTAGTTTCACTTGCGTTCTTATAACCAACCACTTCAACTAGAAAAACATTTGTGAAATGCACTCTATTCATGTCTCTGTCTTCGTAATGCAGCTTGTGGTATTGTGGCCTAGTGGATTAATGGATACTGATGGAATCAAACGTGCCATATACAGAGCAAAAAAGAAGAGGCGTCTGTGTAGCCCGCCTAAGGTATTGATAGCTTTAGTTGATTATCTTTTCTACTTGTTTTTTGTTTGCGGAAAATGACTTCAAAGGATATATTTTATTATTTAAAATAACCCAAGGGTTCATTTCGTAAAGGAAGGATACAAGTGTTCATAACAATGACTGATGTCTTTCATCTCTATATATGTTCTAAAGGGAGGATATCACATTTGATCTGATCTATCTTGCTTTTCTGTAAATTAAGGTAATATAGGAACTTAAAAACTTTTGCAGTTGCTGCATGTTTCCATCAATGTTGTCAATGTTATTTTTATATGATCATACATATCAAGAAAGTGCCATTTTTTTTTTTTTTTTTTTTTTT